CGAAGGCAGTTAAAGTTACTGGCTCAACTTTAACTGCCTACAATTATTATTATTATAGTGGTTAAAATACTTTATATCAGGGTTCCTTCTGATTAGTTGTTGGAACAGCGAACTTGAAAGTTGAAATAAAATAGTACCTTCACAAGAAGGTACTCTAGAAGAACATAATGACCTATAACCTATGCTTGTATGGATTACCTTTGACCATATTATCTTGTCGATAAGGTCCGTGTACGGTTATTACCAGATTACCTTATTAGTGTGAATTCAGTTACCAGTCCATTGGTTAGATCAATTAATAATAACCTATTTGCTTAAATCGTCCTTTGGTATAATTAAAGGCGACAAGACACTCGTCAATATCATTATCGCGTGTGCTGATAATATATTAATTTGGTTGGATTATTTATGAACCCGCGGTTATGCGTAGTCTCGCGCACTGGCCGAAACGAAAACTTTGCGAGTGAAACGGAGACGAGGTAAAGGAGAATTAAAATAAAAAAAAATTCTAGCTCATAAGCGAAATTATAATATTATAATAACTTATTTATACATCTTTGTGACGTTGTATGATATTACGAAACGGTGACAACAACATACGGCTCTCTTGAATGACGCCGATCTCAACTGAATCGACCATATTTCCATCGACTGCCGACGCTTTGCTATTAATTTATTATTATGTACAAACAAATTACGATGATAAAAATATCGTGTGCGAACGTGACTGACGAGTCGTACAACGGTTGCCGACGAGGCCTATAAAGTTATAAAATATTTAATATAATATCGTATCATGTTGTGATGTACCTATACTACACCATATACCTACTGACTACTTACTCGGAACGATTACAAYTGATTGTAATGTAAAATGTAGGCGTGTACCAACAATCGCGTTATTTTATAATTGTTTGTTATTGTAGCTATTACTTATTACTAGTTACTATTATACTAAATAATTTGTCGTCGTCGATATTATTATGCGTTGATATAGACGCAGCTGCGTTGTCCATATCTCGACATTGCAGGTACCTATATTCTATACGAAATGTCTCGTTCGATCAAACGGCCGCGGTCATTGAATTTTACGTCTGGAAKCGACTACATTTTCTAATATGTTCAGTATAAAGCAGTGCCTGTACGTGTTTTTGATCTACGATTAGGTAGTGTTGTTAATTTAAGAAAAATTCGTCAATATATTCATCTATTTGTAATGGATAAAATATGCGTATCTTTATACCGAAATTAAAATAAAATATGTAGGAAGGCACTTAAAAGAGCTAATTTAATAATTTGTATGATTGCATAAGACCGACATTGCAAACAAAACACAATAGTCTCGAAAAGATTATATTATATAATTTTATTGTAACAAAACACACTCATGAAATCAATACTATGTCGACTGAACGACTGATGTCCGTAATGTAAAAAATAATATTTTTTTTGGAATTCAGATTATCAGTGGGGTATAGAACTCCCATCTGTTCATAAACGACTGTCTTATAACTCTTATCGTAAAACACTGTGCCCTTTTCAAGTTCGTGATCGACACTGTGCGTCATCATACGTGAATCGCATCACGTCCGGTGTTTATGTTATTACTATTATATTTATAGTATTATATAGTTCTATAATTGATGTAGAAAAACTACTAAAARCTATTTATTCCKATATCGTGGATGATTAAAATGATCAGCAAGTCCTAGTAGAATCGTGCCAGAAAATGCTGTYGAGTGTATAGGTACGCTGACGGCGAGGCGTTAGCTAACGGCTAATTGTTTAATTTTTATTGATTCTCGGGTCACTGCAACTATCCTACACCAGTGCCTGTCGGATACTTAATAATATTATGATGCCATAGTATCATGGTATCATATTATTATTATTATTATATTGTGATCGATACGAGTTTCATATCCGTCGCTTGATAACTCGTTTTTGCGCCACAACGTTGTGGCTGGCATTCACCTCGACGGTGTTTTCAAAAGGTCAAATTAA